AAGATTGGTGCATCATAAAAATTAATATGTTAAATAGTTAAAAAATTCTACATTCAAATCTTTTCCATTCTTTATAGAACCACCAATCGGAAGATTCCAGTACAGGAGAAAGAGTGTCTTTGCGGAAGCCTACAATCCTGAGGAGGATGAGGAAGACGATGGAGTCAAGGTGTGTTTTTTCTTCTTTTCATTCTCACTCGTTCCATTCAACAAAATCTTTGTTGTTTTCGGTGACATTTCGTTTATATTTTCTATGTACATTCCTTTGTACTTTTGATCACGTTACGCAAGGAACCATATTGTCGATAAATTAGCACCGAATGAAAACTATATGTTAAATCAATTGATATTAATCGAACTACGCAATCGGAAAATCAGCCACAATGAGAGGAACTATTCGTTAGGAGAAGTTTAACTATTCATTAAGTTAAATGTATCGAGTCGAGTCGAAAGGACTGAAAAAAAAACCCTTCGTTACGGTATATTGGAACGCGACAAGGATAGGGTTAATGTGTTTTATGTGTATACATACATGTATACATTATTATAATATATGTATATACATACATGTGTATCTCCTGTAAAAGCTAAATATGGATGCTTTATGGCTCCTTCGGATAACACACGACCGATCGCTTCGAAAGAAATCGCGGCTCGAAAGGAAACGTCGCTACCACCAGTGGACTCTGAATTTTCGACGATCTGACACGTTGATCAACGTGTATCACGCGAAACATTGAAAGCAACTACTTCTTTTCCTTTTTATCGGAACATGAACATATTCAGGTTGTGCGGGTGACGAAACGGGATGATTTACTTTGCTCGACGATGCGAACGATGTACCTTTGTGACGTCAGAGCGCGTGTTCGATAACCTGCTACCGACGTGACTTACATATGTATGTATCATACGTATATACGTGTGAGCGTGAGAAAGAGTGAGAGAGAGAGAAAGCGAGAGCGAAAGCAAGAGAAAAATAAAGAGGGAGAGAGGGACACATGGGGAAGGCTCGTCGAACCGAGATTGTACTGCTTGAAAGCGTTTCAAAAGGCTGTACCGATCTTGATTGTCGGTATCTTGAGCTGCTTAAATCGTTCAGAAAACCTTGCGAAAATATACTGTGGATTGACTAAAACATCCAATTATCTTATTATGGGAATAGCAGAAAGTTGAAGGGTTCCGATAAATGAGATATAAAGATCAATTTCTCCGTGAATCGTATATTAAACCGATCAAGGCTATCGATATTTTCTCAAGCGTGACCACGTGCCTCTTTTTTTTTTTTACGTAGATACATATATGTTTTATTGTTGAACCAGTTGATTAAAACAAGGCAAATCAATATTTGGGGGAGGTAGCCGGAGTTTGATCGTGTGAAGCGTTTGATACGATGCTCGAAATAATTGGATGATCATCAATCTTTTCAAATGATTTGATCTCGAAATAAGCTATCCTACATTTTACAAGCTTGTACTTAATATACGAGTTGTATTTTATTCTTAACAATTGCAAGTCTATGCTATAGATTTAATAGCATAAAAAAAAAAAAAGAAAAAACACCGACGATCTTGCTATAATTCCAAGTTTTTTAATAAATCACTCGCTCAGCGTCGATGAATGTAGTCCAGTGATCGATGCACAAGGTAACTTGTAATACTCGAAAATACGATTTTCAGCGAAAATTTCAATTTTCTTCCACACACGCACACACACACACACACACACACACACACCGTTTGTTTTAATCGGAGCAATTAGATAATACCGCTTTTGACGGTACGACGGGGTCTTGTTTCGAGTCCGCTTGCACAAAAGTTGCACAACTCAACATTCAGCAGCATTGAATACTAGATTGTTCCGCTAGTGGAAATGTTAATTACGCGCATACGAATTGGTATTAAACCATTGGTATGCAGATGAATCAATTAAGGGAACGCGAGACGTTCCTTTCTAAAATAAGAATGCGATATAACACGCAAATTACTCCAAATTAGGACTTCGCAATTGTGTTGGAAACAGGAAGCAGAGCGTGAAACTAAGTTGAAGATTGAATTAAATTATAACATCGTTTTGGAGAAGATGGGTAGAATAGTAATATTAGACTGACTAGTCTTGTAAAATTAGACACACAATCGAATGTAAAGGTCAGATAATATGAAACGAAATACGGCTTAGATCTGTTTATTCTCGTGTTGGATTTCTAAAAAAAGCAAGGTTCAGATTGAAAACAGCTGTACGGTAGTGTCCTATGGATAGTTAAGCGTATCAGTCCCTTTAGGGGTTAGGGGATCGATTATGAGATTTTGAAAAAAAAAAAAAAAAA